TATTCCATGTATTTTTCAAATTTTTTTTCAAGTTTAGCAACATATGAAAAGCAGAAAAAACCCAACGTAATAATACTTTGGTTTTTTAAGCTCCTTTACTACTGAATTTTTAAATAAAGTGAAAAAACCCAGTCAAGTGATTATTCTGTTCTTATTTCTCTTCCCCTGCTCTTGTATCTCCATGTCTTTATTGCAGAGATGTAAAGTGAAAATGCACATGTTAAAAAAAAAAACCCTCGTAAAACACCTATATTTTTAACAAATATTAATGCAAGAAGCCCATACTGAAAGAAACAGGAATGCTGAGCATTCAGTACTGGTATTGTGTATGTTAGTCTTGCATGCAAAAACTACCATGCTTCAGGTTAAAGGAGACTATATTATTATTACTTACTAATATTACATGTTCAATAATATAAATAATAATTAAAATTAAGAGTCAATGTAAAGGGATAATTTCCTTCAGGAAATCTTTTAGGTGGTACTTTCTGATTCATACTGCTATGAATTCTAAATTATACTATCACAGTGTTGATCCAGCCCCATGGAAATCTTCAATTTATTAAGAATTCGGAAGATCATAGTCAAAAAACAACAAACTGTCAAAATATTAACTGTATCTTAGTAATGTTAAAATACTTAATGCAGCTTGTTTGCCTTGTGCATCTTTCAAATTTTATCCTTGCTTTGCAGATCACATATGGGAATGTTACAAGAACAGGAACATGAAAAAATTACTTTCACAAACCCCCCTTACTGAAAGAATCATTTATTCATAAAAATGCCATACCTCAAGTATGGTGTATTTCCATAGAATTACATGTTTTTCTCTGAACATGCACATGAACCATCAAAAGAAGCTGTCACTTCTTTAGCAGTAAACAGTTGCTTTTGTTAGATTACCCCCGCCCTAAAAAACTGCGGATTTCCCTGTTGTAAGACCATAATTAGTAAGCATTCTTCATTACACTGCTTCGAAATCATACCATGCAAAAACATGCTGGCAAGGGCTCTGGCCCTCATTTTTTATCTTCCATAAGCAATTTCACAATACTCTGACAGTTATGGGAATAATAATAAAAAGTCATTCAGATGTAATGCACACCTCTGCTGAGGTCTGTGGGCGATGGCTGGTCCTTTCTGGCCATGTGGAACAGTGCAGACCTACAGTAAAAATTTCATCTCCACAGACCTACTACAGAATTTCACATTATATTTATATATACAGTAAGTGCAGTCTGGATTCCAGCAAAGACACCCATATATTCACTTCAGCAACACATCTCCAAAGGTTAATTTTATTTATAACATGAGAGAGGCCTTTATAACCTAAATGCACATTCACACAACCAGACAGACATGCACACACCTTTACATATGAATAATTACATAAAACAGGGTCTTTTACTGTTCTCAGCTCCACAAAAATACTGCAGTCATGAATTAAACATCACCTTCCAAAGTTCTCTGTTTTGTGCCTGCTCTGGCAAGGTTTCTGAGAACACTGATTAGAATCTGAATAGCTTTACATTACCTCCAACCTTAGGCCCACCAGCTGATCCTGGCTTTCTTGCACTGTTTGAAGGATTTCCTGGCTTTTTAGGTGCCGGAACCTTGAAGACTGAAGCAGCTGATGATGGCCTATTTCCATCCACTGATTCTTCATCATCAAAGCTTTTGTCTATAAAAGGATACATTAAATAAAAATACAGCTGTTAGAATGGGTGTGTTTTGATTTCCTAATCAACTATTTTGCTTCACATTTCACAGAAATTCACAATATACATGAACAAAACCAAGTATTTATCACTTTGTCCTCTGTCTCTGAGCTAGGAATAAAATGAGAATGAGAAATAAACAGCATTTTCTACATCTTCAGTTCTTAGAGAATATCATTTTTCCTTCATAATTAACCACAGTAAACCAGCATAAAAATGAATCCTACACATTCGTTCTCACAAAGGGCAAATATCTTTGCACGGATCGAATTTTTTTGACCATTTCTTAATATCTTCCCAAAAGGTAAGCACTTAATATCATTTTTATCACTCCAGTCTACCAAAGACAAATGCTTCTCCTTTTTCTTCCTTTACTCATGCAAGCATTTTCTGCTACACATCCTCCCACAATGTGTCTAACTAGCACTCCCTGTCTCTTTCCTTCCACCCAGATTTTTCAACTTACAATCACAGATCCTCTTGCAAATCAGTCGCCTCATTCCTCTGATAGCTCTTCAATCCCCTCTCCCAAGGACGGACCCAGCACCTCACATGGCCACATGCAGTAAATTCTTCATACTAATCAAAGATTCTATCAAAAACTGCTTGCAAACACCCTGGATCCACCACTGAGATTTGTGCCGGCATCTTTCTCTCCCTTCCCTGCACTAGGTGCTGCACAGCCAATGAGCTGCAAGGTGACATCATCTTCTGGGAGCCAACGCCAGAGGAAAAGGTGAAAATTCTCCATGCAAATAAATTCATTCCCACACAGGGTTATTTGCCACTATTCCAAAGAAATTAGCCAGGCAGACGATATTGCAGGGTTTGCACTCCTCTCTCCTGTAATTTCAGGTTTGTGTATTTTTAATCAGGAGAGAAATTCATCTCCAGTGACTAAATAAATAGCCTCAATACAAAATATTTTGCCTTAAAACACCCCCCAGCATATTCCAACGGTAGAATGCAATGGTTTCTCAAGTGACTTAGGGAAGAGGAATTGAGCACAGAAAACGCATCGGTCTATGCTTCCTATAATAAATAAAATGGGCGAGGCTGAGACACAGCTGCACTACAGTAATGAATGACTGGTATTACCTGCTCTAAAACCTGTCCTTTCTAAAAAACCTAAATTAATTGCAAAGCTTTATCATCTCTGAAACGGTAACTGTTTACCCTCTGCTTATTCACAATTTGCTCCCAGTGAAATGTCAACTATATTTAACAATATATGCTCCCAGAGGGAGGCAGCTTGCATTAAAAGGGTAAACCAAGGTTTTGTCCAGTAGCATCTGCAGCACCATCCAACATTAGGACATTCTGTATTTAATGCCTCTAAGAACACTGCTGCTATAGTTAGTGCATTTTCTTAGCATGTGCCAAAAGCTGTGTTTGCACTAACAAATCTCCATGACTGAAGAAAGAAACCATCACAAGAAATATATGGATGGATATTAACAATTCTCATTAACTTTATTGCCTTCTCTCCTAAAAACATTGATTTTTAAGAGAATCTTGCTAGGAATAATCATGTTTGGATCCGTAAACTCTCCGAATCATGGACAAGGCATCAGCCACCCCCCCCAGGTCTGTGTGTTGCCATGGAAACAGCACTCCCGCTCAGCATAAGGGCTGAGCCAGAATACATTTTGATTCCTGATGCTTTTACTCCCAGTATCTTAAATAGAACCAGACATGAAGATTTCTGAGCAAGGAAAACCACTAATCCAAATGCCAGATCAAGTGCAACGAGCTAAACACCACAAAAGAAGGGCAAATGGTAATGGCTGGGATCTATGATACCTGCCACACTACAGGGCAAAAGAAGGGCAAATGGTAATGGCTGGTATCTATGATACCTGCCACACTACAGGTAATTTTAGAATAGCATGAAGAAATACCTTGCAGATTTTTTAACAGCACGAACAGATCAACGCTGACACATGAATATGGAATCATGGAAACCGACTAAAAGTGTAAACATGCTTTTCAAGTAAAAATGTTTTTGTTGCCGCACTTTTAAAATCTGATTAAAAAAACAGGCCAGACTTTCATGCTACTACCCAAGAGCACAACAATGCAGCACTGATATGCAAATATTGCACAGTAAGCCTTTGAAACAATAAGATTATTTACAATACAGTCTTAAAAACAGAAAGTGAGCATTTGCTCATCTATGCAAGGCCTCCTCATTAAGAAAAATCTAAACAACTCCAAACAACAGTGTACTTTTGTAACCAATGACTCTGATAAGTATTATTTTAACCAAACTATTCATTTTGGAGGATATTAACGATGGGGAATTGTAGAAGTTACTGCTCAACCCCAAAACATGCACACAATTTCAGAAAAAAATGCACTTCCAGCCACTGACATGCTGTGTGCATTAGAGGACAATGCATTAAATTATGTTAATATTGTCAAGTTACTCTGCCTTAAAGAATAATTTTTTCATCCAGTTATAAAAAACCTTACACTATGAAAAAGTTTCATACAGTTTTTCAGTCCACACGAAACCCAGCTTTTAAAATAAATCCCTTTTTTTTTTTGAGGTACACAGAACTGATCATAACCACTGATACATGGGCGATCTTAACCAGATTTTTCATGGTTTATGTTAAAATAAATTAAAAACTGAGGTACAGTGACTTGAAGTGTTCCAAAATAATAGCACAGTACCATAAGCATATAAAATTAATAGCTGTTTTAACACTATTAAGGCTAAAGTGATACTGCAGCTAAGTTTCTTTTGTTCTGGGTTGCTTTGTTTGTTTTTAAATAAACATATGCAGGTAAAATTTTGTACTGTCTTTTAAAAAGAAACCAGAGGTTTTCCCCACCCTTTTAGGTCTTTACACTTTTATTTCCCTAGGCTTTAACATCATCAAAATCCCAAGTGATCTTTAGGGACATTACACTGCCAGATATAAGCTTTATATCGCTTATTTGTGAAGATCTGAAGCCTTAAGTCAGTATTTATAGCACTTAATGAAACCAAAGCATTATATTTGCTTCTAGCATGATGTGCATTCCATGTGCTCTTGCTCATCTGCAATGATACACTTGTCTGTAGTTCTTATAAAAGCATTTCCATGTACTTCATCATGGAGAGTCACAGCTCAGGCTGTAACTGTTGCTCCACAGGGTATAATCAAGGTGCAGTTCTGCTCAAGCCATCTGAGCCGAACGTGTTTACTATGTGCCTTTGGTTAGCCAAAGGACCAGGGATGGAGCTCCTAACTGCCAACATTCAGAGCACAATGATGGTTGTACTGTCAGCATCAAACTGTGACTGTAATGTTGGTTTTATGCAAACAAAATTAATTTCTACAGCAAAAGTCATAAAAGCCTAAACGTAATTGATGCTTCAAAACAAATTCATCTGAAGGATGCAAACTTTTTTCATTCTAAAATGGCTCGATAGTTTCCATTCTAGGTTATTTAAAAGGCCTAACACTTTGAGAGTATCAAATTTTACATATGCAAATACACCTGACAGCTGAGAAAGCACTATCCAAACAGCACTTTACAACAAAGCTCCAAGGTACTAAAAATAAAAAGCTGCATGAATTGCTAGCAACATGCAGAACATCTTAAAGGAAAAACAAATGAAAGACACTGAGCCTCAGTTAAATCTCAGAACACTGTTTGTGTACTTGGGATGTTAATTTTAAATTCTAATGGGCAAGAAGAGCTTTGGAAGTAAGCACACCATACAGAGAAGGGCTTGGAATCTAGTACTGCCAAAACCTCCTGAAGAAACCTTACAAGCAACAAATGTTCTCACTCTAGTACAAATTATCTTCCAGATGAACAACTTCAAAGCAAGGGGAAAAAAAGATTCAAGAAAATGTTGTTCTTATATTCAGAAAGCTAAAGCCACAAGATTCAGCATCCGAGAAACAGAAGTTTTCTAAGAGAGGGAAGAGATGTGTACCACAGAAGAGTGTTCTGTAGGTACTGCTGTTCATGGCTACAAAACGTTACAGAGCTGCCAAAGGAATGTTTCCAGCAATAGATCGACCAAACCAACATGCGTAACACATCAGAGCCTAGAGACCACTACACTTCAAAACCTGGGATCTACCAAAGTTATTCCAAGATGAAATCCAGACAGAAGTCCAAAATTCTGAACTATTGCAAAGGTTTGAACAGTAAAATTGTTAAGAAACAAACTATGCAGTTTGAACTAAAAATAACCAAAATATATGTGCTCTCTTTGTGCCTTGTAGCATTACTCTTGTGGGCCAGATCACAAATACATAGTGTATGTTTTCTCAAGTATTCAGAGAGATACAAGGATAAACACTGATAGTCAAAGAACATTTTAGTCCTCCAAATGCTTAACACTTTTTAAACAATCTCTTTGCTGTGAATCAGGTATAGAAGAGTAAACTGTAATTACAGATATATCCAGTGACAAGAATCTAGAGAGGAATATAAAGCTTCTAAAATCCAGAGAGAATATATATTTTATTTTTAAAATAAATTAAAAATACATTTATTGCTACTGTAACTCAAGCCTTCACCTTAGCTAGTTTTAAGATTCATAGAATTAATGTGATGTTTAATACCTAACATTTTATAAGTCAGAGTCAATAACAGAAGAAAGAAATACAGTATCACCTACAGGGCTGTACAAATACAAGATTTACAATTCTACTTGTGCTACTCAGCAGCAGTGAATCAGAAGGTAACTGACCTTAGAGCAAATCCCCAAGTAACACCACAGGGGAGAAAAAAATGGATCCCCTGCAGTAACACTGAACTAAGGCTGGTCATAAATACAAATCTTGATACTGGTACCAGAAGCAGCAATATGTTTATATAACACTACTGGCGCTGCAAATACCACTTGCAGTATTTTACTGTAGATTAATAACAGTCAGACCAGAGAATACAGTGCATTTAATATTTATATATTTAATAAAACTGCTTTGACTTTTGTTGAAAACATGCCCTT